GTTCCTATGTACAGAATTCAACACCCTGCCTCGAAGTCCTTGTGCTGTACTTCGATCGGTCATTGGTCGGGCATACCCCCGCCCGTGACTGCATCGGCTTAGCCATTGCAAGTCCTTGGGTTAAACACTCCGTGCAACCCACCTTTTGACCGTCCCCCAATTAAGGAGGTGTGTCAGACCGTCCTTGCCTTGACTCGTACAGTAACAAGTACTTCGTCCTAGTGAAACATTCCACACAAACTTCCTGCGTTAGCGCTCTTCCTTCTTTTGCGCTTTCGCTGCTGTGCGTTCCGAGGTGAAACTTTTTCAGTCTTGCCTACACTCACTTCTCTGCCTCATACTCGTACACGATGTAGGTCTTACTGACTTCCGAACAACGTTCTCTGTTCTGTGCTGTCCGGCGTACCTGGATCTACATCCATTGGTTTCGAACTCCCAAACAGGTCCATTGGGATTTCTGATCCTTGTGCGCGTTCTTCTGACGCGTCATACATCTCACTGCATTGTTCGCAATACTTCTCATACGATTCCTGTGCTTCTGGGGATAGCATCTTGTTCCCCATCTCTTCCACGGTAATCATCCTTCCGCGGTACTCAATCATCTCCGGCTCTTTCTTCCTTTCCGGTTCTTCCTGGGTTTCCACATCTTGCTTGTTTCTTCCAGATGTGACTTTTCCACCACGTCGGTAGTCTTCCTCGCTTATGATGGGCATACGCACACTCTCTGTGTGTACGATTGATGGTGTTCCCATCGCTGCTCTTCCACGTCTCTTCAAAGATCCTTTTCCATTGCCACTCTTTTGTCCGGCATTCCAGGCATGATCCACTTCATCCGTTACACGGGTCTCTTCCTTTTCCGTGGCATTACCCGTTCCTTCCGTTACTGCTCTGTCATAACTTTTCCTCCATTGTTCCGTCGCATATGTCTTGATGCATTCCGTGCAAGAACATTTCTGGTGGTTTACCTTCTCCCTTGTACACTTTCGTACTCCGCACCAGTAGCACTTCTTTGTGCATCCACCATTTGACTCTACTTCAAAGTCAAGCTCCATTACTTCCCAGTCGCTTTCGTCTGGGGTTGGTGGCTCTGCGCGCTCTCGGCGTCTCCTCGAGCTTCCTTCTGGCTTCGTCTCTGGGAAACAAATCCAACATGCCCTAAAGCCATCTTGTTCAGCTTCTTGTACGTCCTTCCAGACCCACCGGCCTGGCTTCTTGTGTGACCCTTGGGCATGCCAGCAAGTAGCACGGTGATATACACGTGCACGGCTTCCCGTACTGATCTTCACACGTCCAATACCTCGCAGGTTTTCCAAAATTCTTCCAAGCTTTGTCCATACCGTGATAACATACGGCACTGCGAGTAAAAATACGCATACCATCATTCCAACTTCAAACTTCGTGAAGTTTCCATCCATGGCGCTCATACCTTTTTCCAAGGTTCCACAGGTCT